TACTGAAATTGGTCCATTGATGGTTATAATTCTTATAAAGTGAACATTAGGATAAGGGCAGACCTACGAAATGACCACACTTATGAAAAAAGATGTCATACGTCCATTTTCTAAACTATTTTCCCTGAGACTTTTTTTATATTTGTGAGAGCTGTCAAGATATTTACAAAGTTAGAAATGGTCGGACGAACACCAAAAATAAACACTTAAACTTATTTCGAGATTCTTTGGAACTGTTTTTAAACCTTAACTTATCTCGAAATCCATCAGAACGGTACGTTTTCGAAAAAAATTGTTCTGCCCCTAAATTATAGAGCACTATACAATGACTACTAATTGTGGAAAAAATTATTCGACAAAGAATATCACCAGGTCGCATACGTTAAGCGACAATAACAAAAGTTATAATGTAATTGTTACTAGTTCTTGAATAAACTTAGCGCAGTTTTTTTGCAATCAAAGTCTTTTCAGCGAGAAAGGTGTACAAACTTGAGCCAGAAGGAATTTGTTGTGGATGTTTTGTGGTTGTCTACCTTCAGCTATAGGTATGAAGGTTATATGCAAGGAATAACATCTCTAATATCATAGGTGACAAATTACTCCTTAATTTTGGTGCGAAATTTCAGCGTTAAGTCTTAATTTCACATGTGAAACTACAAAATTCCCATGGTAACATCTCTTGTATCTCGATCAGAGCCAAGATGGCGCCGAGATTTAAGACAGTGACCCTTGAAGAGGTTACGAAATTAAAAGAAGCGGCCGAAAATTATTAAAGGCTCAAAGAATTCGAAAGGTATTTTTTTGTGAAGAAACTCAGAAAATTACGAACTTTAACAATAATGTATGCTTTAAACGAAAACTATATTCTTCTTCATATTCTCGGTTTTCGATAGAATAAACCAGTAAAAACAATTACGGTTGTGAACGTAATTTGTCACCCACGATATTAAAAAGTAATCAAATGGTTTTCTCGTCAAATTAGGAAATAGTTTCACTTGCGTTTTGTCAAAATTCGGCACAAGCGAAGAATTGGATTGAAGTTACGAAAATAAAAATGGCGTACAATTTGAATCATATTTCTGACGACGAAAAGGCAAAATGGCTGGCAAATATAGATCCAAGTTTATTAGATGAATCAAACGAAGAAAAACAGCTAGACAACCAGGAAATTTCCTCATTTATTGAAGAAAATAGAAACAGCAACACGACAACGCATCAATTCCGTCCCCCTTCGCATACTTCTGTAACGCACTCCACGTAAATAAATATCCGCGAGATTCGCCCGCACAGAATTAACAATTTGGCCTGTTAGATAATAAATAAGTTATTAGACGTTTTCTTGTGTAGTATCACTGAGTATTTGAACTTTACTCGTTATTTGTATTTTGACTCGCCCTTCGTAAAAATACTCAGCGATACTACACAACAAAACGTTTAACAAGGCATCATATATATCATGGACCTTTCGATGGCCTAATAATATGCATAGTAAATTTGCGTAATTGAGGAATAATTAAATACCTGACTTGATGGTTGAACAGAGATACGGGCTGCTCCAGGTTGCGGATTTTTGGCTTACCGTCCTTTGAGATGAATTGGTGGCAAAAGCAGTGATTTGGGATGCTCGTTTCAGGACTCATTCAATGCGAAACACTTTCACTATTTTACAAGATAGAGACTGACCTAAAATCATTGCATATTATCTCAAGAAAGAAATGACCGGACAATTCTAAAAACAGTTTTATCATAAAAACCCCGATGTTTAACAAAAATTTCCTGCCCTGAAAAAAGCCTTAACAGCACGCTTGTAAAATTACGATAATTTATCCCGCGTGTTTGGTATCGTCAGTCAGCTGCTTATAGGTCACTCGCCTTTCGCGCCACTCTGTCATGTTAATGAATGAATGGCAAAGCTTTCACCATTCTTAATCTAAAGTCGTTTATCCCCATGAAATATCAATATTTTCCTTTCTTGTTGGGGGGCTTTGATTTTTCCAATAACGGAATGCTACATTGCCAATGTGAAATTTAGAGCCGATAACTTACGGAAGAAAAACAGCATTTCCCAAAGAACCCTACTTAGCCTCTTTCGTACCTTAAGGCAGCTCTAGCGAACAAGCTGTCATTCCTATCAGAAATGTAAGGCGTAGATCTTTCACTTAAATAGAGAGACAAGTTCTGACAGAGGAGGCGACGTCCTTATGCATGTAGACGAGTCATGTATTTCACTTGATAGTCCCAAATTGGCGGACTCAACAAGTTTAAAATACGAAAGGGAAGAAAGTGATCATAGCGTGCTCAGAAATCCCGATTGGCAGGAAGGGAATCATTTAGCGATTTACAGCACACAGCCTCGAAATGAAACGGGGCACCATAGAGAAAAAATTCCATTATGTGTGGGCGGAGGGCTTGAACCCAGGCCAACCGAATCTAGTATTCTAAACATTCTGCGACGCTACTCTCAGTCAAACAGCCTGAAAGACACAACCTCTCCACCGATAATTTTGGATATGCTCATCGTTCGTAACAGGCTTTTGGCATCGCATAGGCTAAAAATATCTTCCAAAAATTTTCAAAAAAGTTTTTAGTTGCACACCTGATCATTTTTGTTTTTTTTTATCTTTTAGGGAATTGTCTATTAACCCCTTGAGAGCTTTGCCATCTGATGTTTTCGCCACAAATACTGAATTATCATGGTTGTAAGTAAATTTCCTTTAATAGAAAACAGCAAATAATATCTTTCCATGTAGCTTAAAACTTACTACACTTTTACGGGACTTGCTTGAGTACATTTTCAAGCCAAAATAAAAAAAAATCCTTTCCCTTTGACATTGCGATTATGCGTTGAGACTAGAACATCAGGAAACCTTTGTCAAAACGTTTCCTGATGTGCACAATGAGTGCACAATCAAGTAAAGCAATGATCTTCAGTTCGGAGGTAGGCTGTAATTTCAGTAATTGCAGAATAAGACCTGGAAAGAAAAAAAGTCAGGCCTTTAACCCTTGTCCTCCCGTAACTGGTTAGACGCTGCTCCCAAATGAGCTTCGATGCCACTCGTTAGGAATAGGGCACATTTTAGAGGCTTTATATTACCTGTGTAGAAATCTGATCATCGTTTGTGATACAATGAATTTCATTTGACTTGTGAAAGATCAAGTACAAAAATGATCCCCACAGGTAAACTACAGTTTATAGGCAATTGACTGAAAAGTAGCCTGAAAAGTAATATGCATAATAAACTATCATGACATATTCTAGAATTGGTAGACAGTCTATGAATCTTTTTATTTGTATTTAGACATAAACGAGACTTTTACTAAAGTGATAAGAGGCAAGATAGTGATGGAACTCATTCTCCAATGCTTATCAAGATTTGTCACCATCGAGTACGCCTCTATCGAGAAACACATGATTTTGTTAATACTACTAAAAACCAGAACATAAGGTTAAAAAAATAGTAAAACATTCAAGAAAACCTCCACAGTTTGTTGCTTCTGTAATAAACTTTGGCAATCTTAGCCTTTAACCTATAGCAGACGAGAAGTGCTCGACATCATCAAGTTAAAGAGCAGCATCCCCTGCTCAGCACAATTGGTTAGAGCGCCGGATAGTGTTATGCGAGAGGTCGAGGGTTCGAGCCCCGGCCGGACGCGTCACATATATGCTGCTGTGCTCAGCTGCGATTGGATGGAGTTACGCGGTTCTGATTGGTGCATCTTTCGGTTCAGGTTCCCACTGTAGTCCGCTGCCACACGGCTCTCCTGCTGTTGTACTTTTTGATCGTCGGCATCCAGGCCTCTGCTGTTTCAATTTCACTGTCTCTGTTAATGTTGTTATGGTTAAGCCTTTTGTGAATTGCCTCTTTCACCTTGCGTGCGTAGAAATGGGGATCAATAGCAATAAACTTTACTTCGTTCTAGAGCGAGGTATGTCCGGTGGTGTGGGCGCGTGCTCTGAGCTGGCGGAGGTCTGCGTCTTAACGAGTCGAATATCCCCGCCTTGTTCCTTGCATAGCTCTTCCAGTTTTGCGAACGTAAACCTTTTCGCACCCACAGGGAATCCTCTATACTACGCCATTCGGCTTTTTAGCGAGGTCGACGGCGTCTTTTGGGCGTACTAGGTGTGATCGTAGCCTAGTCTCTGACTTGAAAACAGTGCGTATGCCTTGTTCTTTTACACAGCGGCGAAGTTGTTCGGAGAGGCCTTTGACATAGGGTAGGGCTGCGGTGGATCTGAACTGGGTGGGGAGTTCAGTGCCAGCGGTTGTTAGCCGCTGCACGAAGGAGGAAGGATTACCATTACAAGCAAGAACAGATTTTTATTCTCATCGTAAATAACGACAGCGTAAAAAAAGCTTCCTAAAGCATTTAAACCACCAACAACCTTCCATTCGCTTAACCATGGACAATGAAAGTAACAATACACTCGCCCTCATCGACACCGCAGTGGTAGACGCCTGACCACCGGTGTATCTAGGAAGCCGACACACACTGACCAATACCTAGCATATGATTCTCGCCATCCAAGATCAGTAAAGCGCGTTATTGTCAAGTGCCTTTACGAGCACGAGAAACGTCTCGCAACAAAACCCTTCTTTATCTCTTGTGAGAAAGACCTTTTCTGAGTTTATAGCACTGGATCGAGTTTGGAGACATTAGCCGTTTGGTTTTCAATGTGTTGATGAGATAGTCTGCGGTATCATATTTCATTTCATTCAGAAATCTTGCACTGTGATTTACACGTGTGTCTGATTGGATTAACGATGCATTTTCACAGTCGTTCTTTTCCAATCTTTGAAACGTGTCGGTCAGTGGGAAGTATTTCAGTATGTATGAAGTAAAAACATCCTACCATAGAGAGTACTTTTTCCATTTAGTTTTTCCCTTCTCTTTTTCCCTTTTCCTTCAGTGATCATAAGAAATGTTAGTAGAAAACTGTTCTAATAAAACTGAGGACATGTTATATAACAGATTATGTTTTTATCCCTATTTCAACACAGATGGTTGCAAGACAACAACTTTACTGAATTGCCTTCTGATTTATTCCAAGATCTAAAAAGCCTGACAGAACTGTAAGTCTTTCATATCAGGATTCCTCTGGAAATAGCTCCAACAACTGCATAAGGTGTTTAAGCACGAAATCAACCTTTCCTCTCTTTCATAAATTACAGCTTATAATTTCTAGTGTATTTTTACACAGATTCTGTCATGCTTTTCCTTCCTGACACCAATTAAAGCCTTTAGAAAGAAAATATTTCCCAATTGTAGATTCTAAAATCTATCCATCTGCACTGATGACATCTTGTTAAGACTGAAACATCTTAAATCGTGTGTTTGTTAGGCCCTGTTCGCACTACACTGAAAAATTTGGTTTGGTATTTGCAAAAAAATTGAAAATTTTGCAACAACGAATTTTTGTTTTCGTAATAAGCGTTCGCACTTAGAACGTGCAAATGTTTTGTGTAACCACAGATGTCAATCAATCGAAGTAGTACCGAGATTTCTAGTCAGTGCGTTTTTCTTTTATTTCGTTTCTAGTCAACGACTGATCGTAAAGCAAAATGCCCCCGCGAAATGTTTTAATCTCCCTTCGATTCTTCGCTGTTTGCTTGCCATGCTAAACCTGATTGGGGCTAGTCAACAATTACTTCTGGTTTTGTTGGGTGGGATTCGGCTTTTACCGATCAAGGAGACTTTAAATCAGCTCTTGAACAGACGTTGGCACCGCCGTCCACCTGTAGAATCCTGGTTTGAAATCGTAACTTCCCTGAAGTTTTTTTTCCGCAGACATTGGAAAATGGGGTGAGAGTCATTCGACAACTTACTATGTTCAACCACGAAATATGATGACTAGTTGAAGGGTATCTGTCAAGGAACAATAGATTTTCTCGCCCAAAAAAAAAATTAAGGCCTCCAAATTTTGTTGATGGCATCTTTGAAGTTTGGTGGCAGTTACGAAAATTCTGGTGGACACAAAAATCGTTCGCACGAAAAATGGTATCGCGTTGACAGATTTTTTTGCAAAACAAACAACATTTCACGTAGTGCAAACAGGCCCTTACTGAATTGACATTTTCAGTGAGAACCAGCCAGGTATGTTATGAATTTCAAAGCTGTTTTCTTGGAATTTCCCTCTCTGTTTTGAGTCAGTTGGCATATTTTTAGATCACGAGCTTATCATTTCTTTATCAATCCACTGGAGTGATGTCAAAGAAATGGCTAGAGAGTCAGGCGTTGCCATTGTTGCGGAAGAGGGTTCAGTGTGCAAGCAAATTTCAAGTTTTCAGCTGCTGATTTCTTTGTGTTAGAAATAATGACCAAACTAAATGTATGGAGTAAATGTTGAATGTTTCCTATTCTATAAGACACACATTGCATGTCTATGTCTACATTTAGATTTTCTGTTCTTAGATGATCAGCATTTATATGTATTCTAATTATAAATTTCAGATTATAGACTTAATGCATTTTCTTGTATCGTCATTCCTATTAGCTATCTGTCAAAGAACAAGCTGAAGAGTCTGCCAAACGGACTTTTCAACAGCCTTTCCAAGCTGATACATCTGTAAGGGAAATGGTTATTGAACAATGGGGATAATTGGGAAGAATCAAATTATCATTTTTATGACATTGTCTACAAAAGCACAGCCATCACAGATCAAACATCCTCAAGTTTTCCAGTTTGACTTGTAAATCTGATTAATGGAATAACAGAATGCTATTTTAAGCAGCTGATGTGCTTTGTTAAGTAACGTCACGGTACTTGGGGGTTTGAACGCTTGAAATCTCCTGATTAAATAGCAGTCTCAAGAACTCCCAGATTTCTTCTAAAGTACCAGCTTTTAACATATGATAAACCATTAACTTACGGCTGCACCAGTGATAATGTTGATAATGATTATAATGATAGTGATAATAATAATAATAAAAGCAATCATAATAGTAATGATAGAAAAAATTATAATAGTTGTGATAATAGAGATGATTTGGCATCTTTCTTGTACAGGTGACGTTGCAATTTTTTCTTTAAGTTATTTTTTTGTTTCTTTTTCTTTTTTTTCTTTTTTTTTTAAATTTATTGCCGTGAGGAGTTTCCCTCCGAAAAAGTCGAAGGTGGATATTTCCTTGAACGGCTTGTTTTTCCATTTTGTATGAGGGAAACATATTTCATGTCATTCTTTTCTTAAAAGATGTCTCTGATGTTCTCATGTTCTTGTTGCTCTTCATTATGGCGTTCTTAGCAAGTATAATATGCTAAGGTCTTCTTGAGCTGGATTTTAAGACATAAGACTTCTTCCTGGGAATGTGTCCTAAGGATTTGGGGGAAATAAACTGAAGAGGGGAAGCCACTT